ATACAGGTTTATCCTTCACACACTTGTGAGGGTTCCCCTGTTTACTAAGCTTTTGCAATCCTTCACAGCTGGAATGAATCCTTACAACCTTTCCAGGCTTCACTAATTATTTATTTTCTCTTAATATACACAGAAAGTAAACCTGCAGCTGGATACACTCCCTCCATTTCAGTAGGGCTATTCTTATTTCTGCAATGGTTGAGCACTGTATTTCAGAGCATTCAGGGCTTGGATTAGAAAAAAAAAATCTAGATCAGCAGGCTATAGACTTTAAAAAATCATTCATTTTAAATGAAAATCAGAAATCATGTACCAATCTGTCAAAGTTGGAAAAAAAACCCCAGCCAAACACGAAAACAGCCTTCCCCCCTTTATATCAAAAAAACCAAACCACCACCAGCAAACAAAGCAACAAACCACAACAAATACAAACCCCAAAACCTGGGGAAAAAATGAGAAATAAATCTATCATCTTCAAGAAGTTTAATGAACATTGAAAAACAGACTGTCATCCACTCCTTACTTGGAAATAGAAGCATGTGGAATGATCACAAAGAGAGTTAAAATCAATATTTTATTCAGCTATGTGCAGAGTAATGGCACCAAGCATTTATCCAACACAGGAGATACTATAAGTACTAATGACCAGGGAGAAAAAGTGAGAAGGGAAACTGCTTCTCTATCCCAAACCTTCTAAACATAAAAACATTAAACACTACTAGCACTATTAAGAGCCAAGTTTGTGGCCTTTTTTTTTTCCTTTTTTACTATAATTTTTCCACACACAGAAAATGAGATTACAATATTTTTATTCCTCAAATGTCATATTGACCTTTAAAGCATTGTATTATACTAAACAACCTGTGGTGGGCATTCTATTGACCACATGAACCAAAAATATTAAATCCTATGCAATTTAGAGACAGGTATGCCTCTAGTTGGGGGAACAACTGTGTTTCTATGTAAAAAATTAAGAAGAAACTATCACTTTTTAATTTAAAACAGCTATTTCCTTTACTTCCTTTCATTTATGGTTAAATTCTTAGGAGGTCTTCATTGAAATCCATTTCATAGGATATGATGAGTTGCAAGGGAACATCAAGTTCAACTCCTGGCCCTGCACAGGACATCCCAAGAGTCACCCCGTGTGCCTGAGAGCATTGTCCAAACACTTCTTGAGCTCTGCCAGACTTGGAAGCCCTGGGGAACCTGTGCCAGTGCCCAACCAGAAACCCACACTGTCTACTGAGGAGTAAGGACTACAATAGGATTTGTCTCTAAATCTCCAGTTAGATAACTTCTAACTGGATAACTTTCTCAGAAAAGGGTATTTTTTTACTGATGTACAGTGATTAAAATAATTGAAATTAGACTAGAGCTTAAAATTAATGACTTTTTCAATATGGCTTAAGACTTTCGATATTGACTTATTCAATATTTTTTATTTCCATAAACACCTTAATCATAATCTGGTTTATAGCAAAGTACAATCTTAAATTATTTCAGCTATAACAGATCAAAAGAATTTTAACAAAACTTTGGCAGCATAAAACTGGGCTTAATTCATTTAACTAATCAATCTTCTCTTGGAATTTTAGGTTGAGAGTAAAAAATCCTCTAGAAATGATATGTAGTGAGATGGATCTCAACAATGTAGAAATGCAAACTTAAAATATTTTCTAAAAAACGTGAGTTAAACCAAATTATCTCTAAGTCTTTCAGATACATATCTGCAGATAGGCTTTGATATTGAAATTTTTCACCTTAAGGATGTCAAGACATGGAAGTAACAAAGCAAACTAAAGGTAAATGTAACTGGAAAATCCTATGTTGTTCCAATTCAAGATCACTGATCTAATCAGAATTAAGCATTATGCAAAAGACAGATGAAAGCATATGCAATAATACTTATCACAGAAAATTCTGAAGAAATTAAACTAGGATGGCGACACAATGCATGAGTTTGGGATGGGGGCAGTACAGACCTAACTTTCAGGTAGGTATTTCTTTTTAGCTGATTTTATGCACTGAAAACAGAAGAAAGCAATTGTGCTGACACCAAGATGTGAGCTACAGACAATTGCATGGTGCTGCCATAGAACTTCTTGCTTCTTCAGAGTTCTCTGCACTCTTGAACAGAGGAGCAACATCAGCTGATGGCCAGTGCCTCAGGCCATCCATCAGGGCCAGAACATTCACAGAGTCAGAAATTGGCCTGAATCCTGAAACTTGTCACCTCCCCTTTCCACATGATGGGAGCTGTCACCCTGCCACAGGCACTGCACTTCAGACAGATGCCCATGAATGAAGTGCAAAATGCTGAGTCGACCTAAAGCGTTTCCAAACCCCAAACACAAAACTGGAATCTGCAAGCAAATATACTCATCAGCAATAACAGGACATGTGCCAAGATGATCCCACACTGTCCACTGTTCCTGGGGTGCCCCCCAGCCCTCAGCTCCCTGGGCCCTCCCTCTCTGCCTTCAGGTCACTGTGGCCACCATCAAGAACTGCAAGATGCCACACCTGGCTTGTTTAACATCTCCATCCTGCCACCTTTACCTCTGCTGCAGCTAATTTTGGATGTTTCAGAAGTCTGAACACTTGTGTAAGACAGAACAGTACTTTTGACATGCTGAGGATACATTTGAATTGTATTTGATGATGGGATTCAGCTATAACTCCTATACAAAAACAGTGTTATTAGTATTTTATATTAAATGTTGCTAATTATCTCCGTTCCAAGGGCCAGGAAGGAAGACTCTAAGGTCAAAAAGAGATCAATGTATTCATTAAATCTGACTCACTGATGTAGCAGATGTATCAGCTGTCTATGCTTTTTAAATATTTATGAGATTTTGAAGTAATTTCAAGTTCTCAACTTCACAAGGCTCTGTCTATGGTTTGCACTAGTAAGACCTTCCAATGTTTTATTGTTTTCATTACTGGGACATTCCATTCAAGATTAAATAAATCTCAGATGTAAATTTTTGGCCATTAGCTCTTGATACATGCTGGTCAGCAAAACTAAGACATCATCACTAAATATTCTTTAGCAAATGATCACATTTCTACTCCATTTTTTCTTTGGTAAGCTAAGTTGATAGAGCTATTTAACATTCATATGACAAGGCTTTTCCAGCTCCCCATGCTTCTAGGAGATTTCTTTGATTTTCTTCCAGTATTTCAAAATCATTTTTAACCTTCAAGAACCAGACGTGTGCACATTCTAATAATAGTACCACCAGCATGATTTCCTTTCTGTTCATGTCTGACCATTCTCCAGCAGTCAAGGACTGCATTGGCTCTCTTTCCTGGTGTCACACTGACAGCTCTACTGAGACATTAGCTAGGATAATCCCATTCCCTTACCTTAGAGATAGAAAGCTCTCACACTCACAATTAAGTGCCTGACATGTAACCAGTACATTCAGAAATCACAATTCCATAACAGTAACGACATGTTTTTATTTGCTAGTCAGAAATATTCATGTCATTTTCCAAACTCATCAATAAGAACAAATTTTTTACATTTTCCATAGAGATCTGAAGAAGAGACATAGCTACTGCTTTACTTCTTTCATCTTCCTTTAAAGGATTTATCAACATTTTAAGGCAAATCATTTCAGTGCCCTGAACATTGCAGAAGTATTGTACTTTAATGTGGGGTTTTTTAAGCTTTCACATTGAATTAGATTAAAATTTATAGGAATAGTTCAAATGCACCTTGAGAATTTCTCATACAATAGGAGTCAATAGTGTACTTCAAATCTAGCCTTCCCTTTTTCCACTTCAGAGAATTTTCAGATCAGAAAATGATACAAGGCAATGCATGATCCTGTGGGACAAAAATCTACACTACTCTTTTCAAGGTCTCAAATCACAAACTCCTTTAGTCCAGCTTTTATGTTTCTTACTAGCAGCAGACACCTCCCAGCATAGTCATCCAACACCAAGACTTTGAAAACATAATAATCTGTTTCTCTTCCCTAAAGAAGTTCACAGTCAGGACACTGAACTTCAAGGAAAGAAGAGCAAACCTGAAGTCACATATGGACAATGATATTTAAATATTTTAAGAAGTAGTTACTAGTTTGGTTTTTTACCCCCCATTTTAACACATGTAAAATCAACTGAGGAGACTCTCTCCATTCCCAGCATCTGTGACTGCAAGAGGTATGACCCTAGCACCTCCATCACATATTTTTATTTGCAAAAATGTTCCTGCCAAAAACACCATACCAGTTATTTCCACTCATACAACCTGTTACCAGCACCCGTTATTACAATGCATGCAGAAAGCAGGATGTCTAGACAACAAAGCAAAAATACATTTACAGAAGATAGAAAAAATATTAGGTCTGAAAACAAACACCTTACAAATGATAATTCAAAGACAAATAAAATTACAAAGCAGTGGGAAACAAAACCACTATTTATTAAGCAAACATACTAAAAATTATTTTATCTTTAGATAGTTAAATGACATAAAGCATACTTATTTAATATGATGCAATTGTTCTTCTAGTATGACTAATATAATTTAATTTTTTTTTAAGAATGACAGTATGTATTCATTTGGTAATACAAACATGATTAAATACACCCCAATGATTAAAGAAATTTAAATGACAATAATAATTTGGCATGCATGAAGTACTAAAAGAGACAAATTCTGTTGTGGACAACAGATATACTGAAGTTTTTAAAGAATTTAGGCTTGTTTGAGATCCAAAATTAAAAGCATATGTCAGAAGAATAAAGGTGTAATTTTTTCAACAGGGTAAAGAAGATGCTTTTATTCAAGCATTTATTTTAGTTCATATCACTGAGCTTAAATGAGATCTTAATAAATATTGAATTTTATTACTCAAAAAATTATTGTGTGGTCACTTAATAAAATTGATGAATCCTCTGAGAGAGCAGCCAGAACAACAATAAAAATTAAATTTTTTCTTCTAATGCAGTAGGACAAATTTAGCCATGTACAGTAATCTTACCAGAGCTTTGCAGTCCACATCTATTGTCCTTTCTGCTGCTGCAGGTGTGCTGAAAATCTTCAAGGAGTACCACACTTGGCAATGTGTAGAACTTTCTCCTATGTTAGAAAAACAAAAATGCCTTACAAATTATCCAGTGAGGTGATCAATCCTAGCAGCCTTCAAATCAATGAGAACTTTGAACTTTTAGCAGAAATGCCAGTCACTCTTCATACTGAGACCAAGCAAATCCTGAACTGATTTAATCTGTGTCAACAAACTGTATTATCTAATTCCTTCTTGCCAGGACTCAAAATAGTAACAAAATTAATATATACAAAAATGGAATGGAAATAGAACTTTGGCAAATTAGCTTCCCAGACTACCACATTGTCTCTGGGTTTTAAATATAATTGATTTGTAACTAAAACTTCAGAGCAAACTGACAGTACTTTTGTAATTTTATATCAGGAAATCAAAATTAGTTCCTCTCACACAAAGTTTTTGAATCTAGCATTTTCCTGGTTTTAGAACACAGTCCTGAATGTTAATAAAATTATCTCATCAATTTGTTCAGTAGATAAAACAAATTAAGCCTGAAATCTCTATCATAAGACCTGATTTTCACAGCACAGATATTTCATGTGAAAGGATTTTTTCATATAAAAAGAGTTGTTCAGCACCTTTTAATAATGCCTACCCAAGAACTACTTGCACTATTCCTGTTTGTCAGTAAATTGTATGATGAAAATAGCCTTAATCCTCCTACTCACTCTTTCCTGAATTATACACTGGAGAGCTCTATTAGCACTCCTGTTTTACCACAGCATTAGCCTTGGGAGCTCCTACTGGTTTTCTCTTCTGCTGTGACCCCAGCTCATCTCAGAGTCACCATTTTCCTTGCTACAGTTCCTTATTCCACGTACATGACTTTATTTCCAAACCCTGTTTCCCATAAAACTGTTTCTGACAGGATTTATTTGCATTATTTTCTTACAATTTCCACCAAGTATATTCTGTATTAACTTACCCATCTTCTTTCAGCTAATTTGATATGCATATAATTTGCTGAGTTTTAATACCAAAATTCCAGGTTTATACTGTCTGGAATAGCCTCAGTGTCTTACAATCTATAAAAATTAGCAACATTGAGCTAAAGAGATCTTCTGAATGTCCATTAAAGGATTGTGGCATGTACAGGATCCCAAGTTTAATAAATTACAAAAGGTAAAAAAAAAACAATACACAGAAGAGAGGTAACTTCTGCAAGAAGGGAGGATCACCTTACACCAAAACAGAACATACTGCCTTGAAGGCTGAAACACAAGGTCTCTAATTAAAAGATCAAAAGAAAATTAAAGAGTACCCATAGCTTGTGATATCACATTCTTCAAGAATGGAGTCAAACTGTAGGAAAAGCTCTGAAATTCAGGTAGGAAACAAAAAAGGAAAGCATGAACAGCAAAGTTCCGTTTACCAAGGATATGTGATTAAACTGCAGGAAAAAGGGATTTATTAAAGTATAGCAAGACATTCACGAATGAAAGTCTGCAAGGTTAAGGAAAACAGAAAAGAGCCTAAGCTGCTATTTAAACAAAAAATTAACAATGCTGCCACCCTCTCCTCAAACCTCCAAAAACACTCATTCCAAAAAAAGCTCCACCCTCAAGTGACAATTTGCTAAGGATTTAAAAAAGCAGTAGAAGAACCTTTTCAAACATCTGAAGCTGGTAGCCTGACAAACTCAGAAGGGCTGATAGAAGATCAGGGTGGAAAAGGAATGCTCAAGGAAGATAAGGCTGCAGCAGAAAATCTAAATTAATTCTTTGCAGTAGAGTTCAGGGACTTTCTAAACTCTAGACCTTTTTTTGAGGGGAATGGTCAGAGAGACTCTTCCAAATTGAGGTTTCAGCAGAAAAGGTTTCAGAGCAGACTGATAAAGAAGAAAGTAACAAATCACCTTTGCAAGAGAGTGTCTGCCCAAAAATTGTGGTTTAATGAAAGGTGTCCCTGTCCATGGCAGGGGGGTTGGAAACAGACAACCTTTCAGGTCCCTTCTAAAACAAAGCACCCTAGGATTCTGCAAGTGTCTGAATTCAAAAGGACTTCATGTATTAAATTGTGGTGGTGCAAACCAGCATGTGAACCCTTGTTTAAGTCAGCTTGGGATATGAAGAAATGAAAAGGCAGAGAATGTGTTGCCAGTTTTTAGACAGGTCTCCTGCATAAATTCAGAAATTACAAATGTGAGTTTGTTTATATATTCCAAAGAAAATTATTAATATCACAATAAGGGAGAGAAGCCACAACACACAAAACTATTTGAATTCTTTGACAAAATCAGCAGCTGTGTGAATAAGAGAAATGTGGTTTACATAGTATCCTGCACCACTACTTGTCATTACAATATTAGACCTTCCAGCAATTCCTTTATATTGCAACCAAGTTATTTTTCCACATACACTCGGAGCCTTCATTTTCTCTCTGACCACACATTTCTTCTTAGTATTCATAACTTTCCTGAATCACATTTCTGTTCTTCATAACTGCAGTAATATAAAACTTATTGTCTACTTCCCTTCTCTCTTCTTCCTTTAATATACAAAGTCACTTATTCTGTTCAATTTGTTCAAAAAATACTCTAAAATTTCTGATATTTCTCAAAAGCAAAGCTTTCAGGTCAGGTTGCTTTCTTTTTAGTTTTGACTTCAAGTATTTTGAGCTATTAAAACTTTTTTCTATATTAGAAATTTTTGATTTTTTTTTCTATTTCTTATCCATTTGAATGCCTAGATTAATTTCTCTTTAAATTTTTTCTCACTTTTGAAAAATCCAATCTTTTTTTCTGGAGACCCTAAATAAAATTCAGTACTTACATATTACCTTTCTGAGAAACAGCTATCATGCTTGGGAGGGAATAACTTGTATGTATTTTTCAATGATATTACATGCATTTAGACATTTTCAATGATAATATTATTTGCATATCACTTGATATTTCCCTAAATATTTTTAAATACTTTCATGGAAACAATTTTCTTAATGCATGATATGAACCTGGCAATTCTCTGCTGAAGGAGCATATTTTTATTTTTGCAGCTGAACCCTTGAGTGAAAGTTTCTGCAATTTCTGCTCAGTATTAATCCTTGAAGTTGTATAAACTTTGATGTTCTGTCAACTTTGTTTTTCTGAAAACACAGCTGAATTTTTGTTTGCTGCCCACTTGGATTGTTAAAAGCATAAAACTCAGGGCTTTATCCTCACTTAGCTGAAAACCTGATAACAAATAATGATTTAAAGGTGAGTCCCTGCTCATGTCCTTACCCATATAATGTATTTGAACAGGCTACATCAAGGCAAATTTATTGCAAGTATCCTCATCTCCAAGTAATTATAGACTAATTTCACTACAAATTTATTCTCTTCCTAAGGCAACCCATAAGACAGAAGCTAGTTCATCCTCTCAAGAGTACTCAGAAGTCACTTCCAAAGCTATAAAGCTTAAGCTCCCTGGAAAAAAAAATACTATAAACAGATCAAAATAACAGCAAATGCTTTTGGAATTTCCTTTAGTTCTATCTCAGCATTCAAACCCAAAAAAACAACTTACGTGGCTGAAGTGTAGTATTGGAAATTCATTTTCTAATGTACAGAGCAGAAGGTCAGGAGTTTGGGGATTTCTTTCACCATTTTTTGATAGAGTTTTTCAAAGAGTTTTACTTTACAGAGAGTAGCTGCTGGGAAAGGCTCAATGATCAGGGGCAATGGAGATAAACTCAATATACTCAGGCTGAAACTCATAGATAGCTCTTTCTCTAGGCACAAAACAAGGTTATATTTTTCTGTTTTCTGCACACATTTCAAAAGCAAGCAGAAAAAAAAATAGTATGCACTCTTCCTTTTCCCTGTACTTTTCTAAACTTCCATTGACATTTTTAATGAATTTTAAGTCTTTTCTTAGAGCCTGAGCACTACACTTTGATTTCTTGTGAGATAAACTCCATTTGACTTTAGGCTCTTATCTCCTCACTCTGAGCCCTTGATGACAAATAAAAATCCTTAGCCTGCTTTATGCAACCACCAGGTCATGACCTTGTCAGATCTCATGAAATAAACAAAACAAATTGCAGTCAGTGCTTCAGATGTAAATCACCACTAGAGAGGAGCGAGCAGAAATCTTCTGAACATAAAAATGTATCTACTTCAATATTTAATCTCCACCACCTTCTCTTTTAGTCTCTCCTTTGGTCAGCTGGCTTTCACCCTGACTAGTTAGGATCAAGCATGTGTCACTAATGGTTTCTGCAAACCAGCATCTTCCGTAGGTCAGCTGCTGCATATTCAGTTAGCACCACTGTAAAAGTGTGGCATTCACATTCTCTGGAAAAATCCCTTTGCCCACGATGTTTCTCCTGGGAAGCTGAGAAGCATCAGAGAAAAGGAAAACAATTCTTATCTCATTTGCTTCTCCTGTGTGGAATGTGTTTGGAGATTGTTTACCCAAGGTGATTGTTTAATTGGATTCTGCTGTGAGTTGTTTTGACTATTGGCCAATCAGGGCCAAGCTGTGTTGGGACTCTGGAGAGAGTCACCAGTTTTCATTATTATCTTTTTAGCATTTAGTAAGTATCCTTTCTGTATTCTTTACTATAGTATAATATTCTTTAATACAATATAGCATTATAAAATAATAAATTAGCCTTCTGAGAACATGGAGTCAGATGCATCATTCCTCCCTGCCACGGAGATGTCTGCAAATACAATATAAAAGAGCTTCCTAATTTTCAGGTTTTAGAACTTTCCCCAATTATTTTGCAAATTTTGGTTATACTATGGAATCACTGGAAACATAGAAAGCTGTGTAATTCCTGTTTCATGTAGTTACCCTGACCTGGAGAAACAACAAAACCAAAAAAAATGTTGGCATTATTTCTGTATCCATTCCTTAATAAGAAGTCAATTTCTTCAATTAGTATTTATCTACAGTATTACATTTGTGAACAGACAGTTCTGTATTTAAAATACAGGATTACTAAATTCCAATTTACACGAAAATTAAACTTGAACCTTCAACAAACATTTGACGTTAAAACCTCAAACTTCCCTTACAAACCTCAT